CACCTTCACGGCGGCCGTCGGCAATAGAACAGTTTGACAGGTGGACTGCGGACGGCTTAAAGGATCAGTGAAGGCGGCCGTGGTGGGAGCTAGGGCGGCAGTTTCCTAGCTGGAGCTGCCTTCGTCGGACCGGCACTCAAGCCGGGGGGTCCGGAAAGCGGAATTCCGGCGGCATCTCACTGGCCCGTGGAAGAAATTCGCAGAACGGGCCGACCCGGGGGGCTTCTGGGAACCTTGGCCTGGAGGCCCTGGACAGCTTCGAGGTCTCAGGGAGCCCGTAGTAGCGGGACCGACCAAAAGGGGGGGGGGGTGGTACTCCAGTCGCGGCCTCTCTGCTAATGGGGGTGAGAAGGATCTCGCTGACCGCTGAGTGGCCGTGAAGTCCCTCTCGACCCTCCGAGGGGGGGGTGACGAACCCCCCGCCCCTGGGGGGAACGACCCCCCCGACTGGTCGTAAGAGGAACCCCCCTCCAAACCCAGGGGCAGGGTCGTCGGTAGGAGAGCGACGAGCGTCACCTGTCAGAGGGGGTGGCTGGGCGCCCCCGCCCGTGGGGGATGAGGGCCCGGCAGAGCCCCGAGAGAAAGAGCCGTTCGCGCCCAGGCACAAAACGGCGTGGTGCTTGCCCTGGCAGTGCGGACAGGGCCGCTGGTGCGGGCAGTCTCGTTGGAGGTGCCTTTCTAAACATGAATAGCACCAGCGGCGCTCCCTGGCGATGGTTCGTCTCGCTGAGGCAGGCTTGCCTAATAACTTAGGGCACGACGTCACCCGGTGTTCTGCTGCTCTACAATAGGAGCAGGGGGGCGCCTTCCTGGCCACTAGGCCACTATAAGATGATAGGAGGGGGCGCCCTCCCGCAGGAGCACCACTCGGTCTGAGGGGGGTTGACAACGACTTGGCCGGGGGGTTTCGCCTTTCCCTGGTCACGGTTCGGTTAGCAGTCCGTAGATCTTCGGCGGTGCCCGCTGCGTTTTCGATCTGCCGGCACTGCTCCTCCAAGAACCGCAGCAGATCACTGAAGGGAGGAATATAGGAGGCGCCGTCTCCGCCGTACCTCTCCTCAAAATGGAGTCGAAGATCGAGAGGTAGGCGGGACAGCACAATATGGAGCAACAAAAAGGACCATTCGTCCACCGGCAAATCCAGCCGTCTCAACGAGTTGCAGGCCACCAAGACCGGATTTACGATGTCCGGTCGTAGTCGGGCCCGGTCCTTTAGCAGCGGGAGGTTCAACAGGAGTTTGACGTGCTCGTCCGCAATTCGCCGTACGTTGGCATACCTTCCGGCCAGGAGGTCCCGAGCGTTCAGGTAGGCGTCGTCCGACACCTTCAAATGGCCGACGACGCCCAAGGCCTCCCCCTCTAATGAGGCCAGGAGATACGCCATCTTCTGGCTTGGTGTTAAATCCCTCCGGGCATCCACCAGGCTGTCAAAAAGTCCCACAAACGTTAACCACTCGGAGAGGACCCCGGAGAACCTTGGCAGGTCCAGAGTGGGAAGTCGTCCCAACAGCTCCGGGTGAGTGGGCTGCTTCCGAGGGGACTCGAGCAGGACACCCAGCCGAGCTTCACGCGCGTCACTAGCCTGCTTGGCCCCTGCCTCAATCAGGTCATCCGTGAGAGCAAAAAATTGCTCATAGTCGGAAAGACAGGAGTCTAGGACTCCCTGTTCCGCTCCCGAAGCCATAATCTCGGAGCATGCCTCCTCCACTACGGCCCTTCGGGTCATGACTTGCTCGAGCCGCTTCTCCAAGCTATGGATCCTATCTGGTCTCCCTATCAAGCTGTGAGCATTCGCAGCCCAGCGCAGTTCCGCTTGCAAGCGAAGCGTCGGTGACCGGTGTGAAGGCATCATTACAAGGTACGATTATCACCGAATTAAATTTAGTACAAATTACTTTACACAATTAGTTTAATTACCACAATAAAAATAATACAATACAAAATACTATTTATCCAATCAGTAAATTATACTACGCAATTAATTTAATTAGTACAATTACGGTTCGTCCTCACGATTATTATAACGAGAGTACAATAATTCCTTACCACCACGGCTTACGGGCGTGGCTCAATTCTAACACTTAACAAAGTAAGCGACCAGATAAAGTAAATAAAAAACTCAAAAAATACGGTTACTACACGGTTCTATACACCGATTCTATGCTAACAAATAACAAGCGAATAAAACAAATTATTATTACGTATTGCAACAAACACAACCAGCAGCCACGTGGTTACAACCGCTATCTTGCTACCAACTTACGTATTGCGCTGGGAGACTACGCTACTCCTACCAAAATGTTACGTATTGAGCTGGGAGTGGTTTCAAAACCCATCAGGAAAACCACGCACTGCTACCAAAAATGTTACGGCCTCTAGTTACCCGGGCAAGGTCGTGGGACCCGGGCCCATCAGGGGTTCCACTCGACGAGTAACAGGAGGTCGGCCTAAATGGCTTGTGGAATATTACACGTTATCGGTAAAAAGGGAACCAAACAAAACTTACCTATTTCTTTGAAGTAGGGTCAACCCTAGGAAGATTCAGGTGTAAGTGTGGGCGTGCTTGACTGTGTTGTGTTGTGATTGTGTTAAATTATGTAACCTGACTTCCCGCTGGTTGCAGAACCGCCGATCCCAAGGCTTCACCTTTATTCTTTATATCGAAGTGGCAGTCCGTCACAAAAATTTAAGAATCTAGGAAATTACACTCGTTTCTCACTCGTTAATTGGAGTCAAGTCAATTGTCATTAGGTTAATCCAATAAAATCCAACAAGATTTAACCGAACTCGCGTTACAACAAACTCGACCTTTGTGAAAAAAGCAATATCACCGGGCCGCGTTGCAAACAACTCAGGTTCGCGAAGTATAGGCGTCAGAGGCAGCGGGCGACTAAGCTATTAACACGACGCGCAACTACTCAGTTCCACGCTCTACGGCAAGTGATTCGCAAAACGCCGACCCCGGCGCGGCCGGACGCCGCACCAGCCCGCACCCCCCGCGCCTCAGCCGTCAGGCTCGCCTCCCGCTCGACCCGAGCGCCGACGCAGGCCGCCAAACGTTAAATTAGGCCTAAACAATTACGAATTACGAACGTCGTACTTGTACCACTTCTGACTCAGTGCGCCAGAACTGGTACAACGTAACTACTGGTATGGTACGGGGCGTTGTCCATTATTATGCTGCTATTCGCAGAAATATTTCGTAAAAGGGCTATAAACCACTCTTTGAATTTTTCTGCATCCATTTACTCATGGTAATCTCTTGTACTCTTTGATTGGAAGGCTAATAAACAATTTTGTACAAATCCTCCTCCGGCTGATCCCGCATGGCAAACTATGAGGCGCCCACCTTTCCCCAATCGCGGGCATCTTCGAGCAAGTGGCTGTATGTCTTTCCATATTTGCGCTACAGTGTTCATCAAGAAATATGACGTTGTCCCAATCGTTTATATCTTTCATTACTCTTAAAAATGTTATTCTTTGCAAGACTATGTCATGTCTCTCCATAATTATTTTACGTTTGTCAAGTTTTGTGTATCGAAAGCCTATGCGTTTTAAAATAGTTCTCAATGACTCTACACTACCACTGTATAAACCGGCATCTATTAAACTTACTTGCAACTTCGCCACAGTAGGATATTCGCCTCTTATGAAATAGCCGTAGACATGTTTTCTAATTGCATCTGCGTCGAGTTGATCGATACCTGTTACTGCTTTGTTCTTTTTTCGTTTTTTCGGCGTGTGAAGTAAATTATTCTCACTGCCTGAAGGTCCGTACTTTTCAGTGACGATCTTTGCAACGGTGCGTTTGCCAATCCCGAGTGCTTCACCGACACGATCCAGCACTTATGTCACTGGTAAAAGAGGCCCACCGTTTTGTGACTCACGTTCAAAATATTCGTGTAATTTCACCACCAATGCACGAGCTTGACGGTTTAAACTACGACTACCACAACTACGTTTTCTTTTCGACATTATGATCACTTGCTTAGTCAGAGTCCAGTATATAAATTGCCAAGGTCAATGAATATAGAAGAAACAGTCCAAAAAGTTAAAGCCGGGTCACAAAATAAGAAAACAAACTCAAAATCAAAAAAATTGCGGACAGTAAACTCCCAAAATGGCGGGAATGTTGACAAATTAAAAAAAAATAAACTTGTTTTATTTATGATTCATGTAATTGGAATTTTAAAAATAAAATAAAACAAATAATACATTTAAGAAAATTAATAGTTCGATTATTTGAATATTTTTCCTTGCCGATTATTCGCATAACAATGAATTTTAATCATCCAAGCACTACGGTGATCTACATAACGACATATCATTGATATGACGTCAAGTAAAAAAAAGTTGATACTGGTTATTTTTTAATATTTTGCTTTGTTTGAAAAATTTAAATTTAAATTAGTGATCGAAAACTATAAACGTTGTAAAGAAATATAGATAACTTCATAATTCTTTGGATTTACGTAAAAGGTTATTTTTAATCGTGTGAGTACGCTTGTGCAAAGTTATTGCAGAATGATTAATGTGAAACGTCAAAAGGTATTTCCTAGATTTGGTTGACTATAGTCAACATTTTAGTTGTTAGCTTGAGGTTTAAACATTCCTTAATATATTGAAATCAAAAGTATAAAAGGTTAAAGTTTCAATAAGAAGTAAAAACTCAAGGTCGCAGATATCGGCGTTAAGACCAAAGTAATCGATGGATTGGATAGAGTCGCAATAAGCCGGCCATATAGCTCGAATAATCGACAACCGATGGGGGAGAAAGGTTCTCGAGTGGCAGCCTCGAACCGGTAAGCCAAGTGTCAAGCGGCCCCTAACTAGATGGAGTGACAACCTGGCAAGAAATGCAGGAAATCGATGGATGCAGGTAGCTCCAGGCCGTGCTTTGTGGCATTCCTTGGGAGTCTATGTGCAGCAGTGGACTTGTGAAGTGCTGTTATGATAATGATGAAAAAAGTTACAGTCATATACTCAGTTTACAGTGTTACCTGTTCCTGTTGTCCAGTAATCTTCGCCAGCAGTGGGTCCAGCGCAACGGCTCCTCGCTGCTGTGTGCTGTTAAGTCCTCTCGTCTTCACATGTTCGGTAAGAATAGACCGAACATTTGCCGCCGATAGAGCTGTGCCTTTCCTAAAACAGGATTGAAAAAAAAGTTAAATTAAAAATATTTACCGTTTCATGGCGGTGTAAGCATATCTACTACCAATACAGCGCCGTGGGTGTCGTAAGAGCCGACAGAGGGAAATTGAAACTGGTGAACGGCAGCAGTATCCTCCTGATAAAGACTGAAAATAATAATTAAAACCGCGGTTGTCAATCCGCCTGCCAAGCGTGGCAACTATGGCAAAATACCCCTATGAGACAATTTATGGGGGAGGCCTGTGTTCAGCTGTGGATTTTATAGACTATAAGGGATGGATGGATGGCAAAATACATTTTTGAAGTAAAACTTCTTTACGCACGAAAAACTTCTAGACGCTTGACTTGGGTGTAAGCTGGCGAACGCGTGACTAAAGCGTTACGAAAAGTGTGATCGTGCGAGGCGAACGGGAGTTGAGTGGCTGATATAAGCAAGAGAGAGCAATGCGCGCACATTTTCTTTCTCTCTTTCTCTCATAGCTAGTTATTTTTCGTAATTTTATTTCGTTTGGAACAAATTCAAATTCATTTATTTGCCAGAATGTATGTGTACAATAAAGTATGATCTTAAATTATGTATAATGTCTCATTTACATTCTACCACTTTATATGGTGTGCAAATATTTTATAAGTAAGTATACATGCAAAAAAAAAAAAACAAGTGGGAATTCAATTAAAATGTCACATTGTGTAATGATTGTTCTTAATTGTTAATGTCCATACTTTCAGTTCTTTTGTAATTAATTAATTATTAGATATATATCAATATTACTGACTTCGGATTTATTTTCCACAAAAAGACATAAATTCATTTAGGTCGTAAAAACATTTTTCTTTTAACCATTGTATCAACTTTTTTTAAACATGGTTAAAGGTAACTCTTTAAAGTCGTTGGGTATTTTGTTACACACCTTTATAGCATTTACGTAAGAGTTCCTTTCATACAATTTGAGCCTGCATTGAGGTAAGTATAATTTATGTTTATTTCTAGGAGCTACATTTCGTTCAGTTACATCTATATGCCTTTCAAAGTGTTCAGGATGTTGTTTTACAAATATGCATACTTCTTTAATGTACAAGCATGTTAATGTCAAGATCCTGTACTTTTTAAACAAGGGCTTACAGCTATCCGTATACCATGCTCCATAGATTGCACGCAGACATTTTTTTTGTGCTCTAAATACTTTTATTATATCTACTGAATTGCCCCACAATAAAAGATCATATGAGAGTACCGACGAAACATATCCGTGATATGCACATAGAGCAGCATCAGTTGATACCGTGACTCGTAATCTTTTTGTTGCGTAGACAAATTTGTCAAGTTTGTCACAAACGTAATCGACATGTTTTCCAGTCGCAATTTTGATCCAACATTATACCCAGAAATTTAGGACTTGCTACTTGTTCGATGATCTTATTATATTTAACATTAATCACAAGTAATATTTGAGGTTTTAGAAAGGTTTTGAAAAGGTTCTAGAACCTCTATATGGAAATCCGCTCATAAGTCTTAACATACTCAATGACGTTTTAATAACCTTATATTAAAATCCTGTGTGCAAAAAGGGCCCACGTTTTACAACCTTTCTGAGAGCTATAGCAAAACCTATAGCTCAAATCCAGAACCTATCTAACTACTTACACAGAACCCAAATATAACCTTCATAACCTTAATTTAACGTTAATACAACCTAGCAAAGTAGCTTCTAAGTTCTAAAGTAATCTTGGCTGTAACTCTTTGACAACCTATAAGCTTTTTGATGGTTGTGAATAAATGCTTCTCAAGGAGTCTTGGTCTTAGAATGTTTCTGTGTAAGTAATATATTTTGACACAAAACTCTAATCGTGGATTTAAATGTCGCCATTCCCTGTCATTGTACCAAGTTTCAAAATGGCGAGATAAATGATATTCATAAAAATATTATGCAATTAACTTCTTGTTTTCAGGACAAATGTAGTGCGACTGGCACTTTATCGTGATACTTTAAGATAATAGTGCTATATAATACACGGGTCTTTCAAAAGTTACAATTTTTGGAGATATTTTAATGAAATAAGAAACATAAAATGCGGAAGTTGGTGTAAAGTAGCATTATAAATAAAACTTCTATTTTAATAAATAGCATACACTTTAAATTAAATAAGTAATGTAACTTAATGAATAAGCAAAAACGCACACGCTCCGTAATCTACTAAAAAATTTTTATTTTATTATATTTTCTTAATTTTCGTGAAAAAATATGGCTGGCATGAGGAAATTACTCTAAGGAATTAAAATTACCTTTTTTAAAACTGCAAAAGCTTAAAGCTTTCAATGTTGGCCAAAATAAGAGATAAAGGTAATCTGGCGGACCTACTTAAAACGATAAAGCTGTTTTCACAACTTAAAGGTTATCACCAGGAGTATTTCAAGACTTACCAGTCGCAAAAACAACCTCTGTGCACAATTAGTTGCTTTCAAGTTTTGGTTGTAGCCCGACTTGCGTTTGATCGATGGTTACAAAAGTGTGCGAACTACTACAGGCTGTTCTTCGAATGAAAGTAAGTTAGAATTTTGGTTTTGTTACTTTTAGTGATTTGTAGGTAGATGAACGACGGAAAGGGATTTCACAAGTTCTTGTGAAATATATCATTCCTTTTCTCCTTTTAAAAAAAAGAAACAAACTACATACCTAGTAAGTATAGTACGAGTATATACATAGTAAGTGCCGAATCAATTTAATGATTCATTGATTTTGGGTTTTAATTAGAAATGACATGAAAGGCGATAAAAAATTAATCTACACCTACTACTACAACCAAACTAGTTGTCCGCGCGGGGATGGCGCGAAGTCACTGAGTAAAATAACTGTTTTTATATTTTCAGGCGGACTGTATATCCTAATTGCTAACGACGAAGTGGTTAAAAACCAAGGTAAAATAATAGAAATACTGCAAGATATGCAGAGCAATCAGAAAAAAAGAATGCAGCAGCTTGCGAAGCACACACAATACACAGTAAAATTTACCAATCAATAGAACTCCTTGGAAGAACGTTTTCCTCCACTCAAAATAGTGGAGCAGCTTTTTGAGCTGGAGGATAAATTGAATAATCCGGAATTCCGTAGCAAATATTTTAAAATCATGTCAACATTATGCTCTCCCGGATTAGGAACCAAAGGTGCCAATATTTGCTACAAGATATTTGATCTTTTTGATTGATAGATATCTGGAAAAAATAATTTTTTTCCAGAGAGCTTTTGACATTGGTATCTTGGAGTGGCAACTCTATGGACAAAAATGAAAAGATTGCCATACACATTTTTACGCATATTCATCAGATTCTCTGTAATACAAAATACTGACAGTATTGTAGGTCTGCTAGGTAATGATAATTGTATAAAAGCAATAATAAAAAATTCTAAACAACGTTTCCAGGTGACCTTAAAGCCCGTTTCAGTAAGTGCGCCTAAAAATATTAAAAATGTACAATGTTGAATCACAAAATGAAAGAGCCAACTGCAGACGAACTTGAAGGTCAACAGCCCTCAACCAGTGTCGCATAGCAATGAACCATTCTTCGTTCACTAGAATTTCATGAAATAATGTTAAATAATAAACTTTACCGAATTTCATTAGCACATTCATATTATTAGTAGTCATTAATAGAAATCATAAATGTTAGAAAAAATCTAATTTTTGCGTTGAGAAATCTTAACGAATGCTTACGTGGCATTCTCTCCATTACTCTATAATAATAACACTTATATAGTACCTACTACACTTACTAAGACTAACTAATAAAAGTGATTAAAAGAACTGACTGTTTTTTTGAAGTTTTATAACAATATTATTCTATCTTGTTTCAAATATAATGAAAATGTTGACTTGTATCGTTAGAAAAAAATCTAATTTAAACGTCGTATCCTCTCTATTATTCTTTAAGTCAATTTTTCTTTAATTTCAGTTCTAAAAGAACTTGTTTATTGTAATAAAAAGTTAAGTTATAAAAGTAAAATAATAAAAAAGACTTAAACTCTTAAATTTTTTTTATAAATAAATTTAACGTATATAATAGTGGAATAAACACAATAGATTTGTATGAAACCCTGACAAGTTTGCATTTTATGTCTGACAACTCAAAAGTAGATTCTGAAGACATTAAATCATTTGAATGCACAGTAGATATATCGACACAGTAAACGTTTAGTTCAGATTAATTATTTTGTTTTCTAAAAAAAATCCGAGCAATGTTTCATCTCATTTCCACTAAAAATAAATTCTTTGTCAAGTTTACAAAATGCAATATCGAACGACGCGATTATTCTTTGTTAGTAACCAAAAATTTTCTTACTTTCCTTCAAAACAAACATCCTCTACTATTATCATTAAAATAGGCGTTGAATTATTATCTTTGATCACATGACTATGAATATTGAATTGCTGATGACGAATTTTAACTGTGGATATACCTACATCACTTTTCACATCTTTTTGCACATCATACTGAGATTTTTGAATCTGTATTAGCCAGTTGGCTATTTGAGCTAAGGGCTTATTACCGCTACGAAACATATTTTTGATTTCATATAAGTTTGACTAAAATGAGTAGGCTATTCATTGTATTGAAACTACATAAGCATGATAATGATCTGTCGAATAAATTGTAACTGCACAAAACAATCGTCTCGTATCACCCCTTTTAGTACAACAATCCAGTAATATATAATAAAAATTCTGTATTCCAATGCTTTCCAAAATTATAAGCAATCCAATACTCTTATTTTTCTGTGTATCTCTTTAGGCAATTTGAGGAATTGCATTTTTAAATATAATTCTTTGTTTGTTTTACTAGGCAATTGCAACGACTTATTTTTGAAATATCCATCACGCCAACCAGTGAGAAGCTTTTTTACTATGGCCAGATCTATCAAATGTAACGATTCTGCTACTGGAAAGGCGTCAATCATGTTGATCGGAAGTTTTAAAAGAAGGAAATCCATCTTGTG